TGGGTTTTGTATATTCTTATAATTTTAACACGTGGCATCAATTTTATACTGTGACTGTAAAGGTCCTCGTTTAATTTCTCAATAATAAATGCCTTATTAGGGTCATCCACATAATTCTTACATTTTAACTATATATATTACCAATGAAATAAATTTCAATATTTAACCTTTAAGATAATAAGATCCGGGAACAACTTCTTGAAAACTGTACTTTCATTTTTTTTAAACAAATACGTGTGTGTTATCTACGCAATGCCATTGTTTGTATTTAACAATAAATAATACTTTATTGTACACGCTTCACATTTTATTTTTTTTTAAATCCGGACTTGTATTAAAGTTAACAGTACTTTCTTGGAATGAAGGCAGGATGTCTGGTAAAGTCTATCAGGTTTACATTGCTAATAAATCTGGCAGTATGGCTTGATTGTCCTGGCATAATATTACCACTACTTGTATAAATACACGATGTGAAAAGTAAATGATCTACGGGGACTTTATCAACTTCTTCAACCATGTAAGAAGTGAAGGACATTTTAGTACTTAACGTCCTTCACTTCTCATGTAAACCATGATGACATTATTCTGATGAATGATTACTTGGATGAAGCGCGTACTGCAGACGGCAGTATTTATGAATTGCAAATAGAAACTATTCACCTAAATACCGTTGGTTTGAATATGCATTCAGTTACATATATATATGGCATAAAATTTTGCTTTCAAATAATTGTTACATGCTTGATACTAAACAAATAATGTATAGATGCCATATAATATAACTTAGATCAATTTTCTGAAGGCCCAGATCACAGTTGTCATAAGACTACAATAATATAAATACCGGGATAGATCTTCTGTCATTTTAACTGTGACATTATTTCATCAGTACAGCAAATTGTAGACGAGCAGTCCCTGGAGGACGAAGTTGTAATATAAGAATGATAATTAAGTCAGCTTACTTCAACAAGAAACAATCAATAACACATCTACATACAATATAATGTTAAAGTCCTGACATCTTACAAGTTAAAATTTTAATCAGCAAAAACTATTGTCAATTATCTATCAAATATTATATTATATATTCAAGATTCAAAATATTTTATTTGGTAACGTAAACATGACGTTTCTTGCTGCACAAACACACACATACAATGATACAATAAAAAATTGTCAATAAAACACAATTTTATAGACAATTGTAATAACAGACAATATAATACACATATAGTCGGACACGAAAGAAAACGGAAGATAGAAAACAAGGAGGTCGAACCAGTGGAGAAAGTATATAACAAGCCTGTCTTAGATAAGATAACTTCTTTGTGAACAATGAAGAATTGACACTTTGAATCGACTCCTGATGCATGTTTCGGGGTGAGGGCATGATATGCTGCTAAACTAGAAATCGTGGATGCATGGTCAACACATGCATTGAGATACATTTGTATTCCAAAAGTCTGCGGAATCAGTTACTGCTCGGGAACCATCGGCACTTTACAAACAGATTTTGCCCTCTCGGAATTACTTCACCGAGTAAAATCCACTCGAGTGAAAAAAAGAGTACACATCAAGATACTCCTATAATATCTACTCAATTAACTGCCATTTGTAATGGATTGTGAAGTACGTCAGCTCAATTTGAGGGTAACGCCGTCACTTTAGGATGCCAGTATCTTATCTTACTCAATGTTTATGTTGACCTTGTTATAACGACGAAATATTTGAATTATACAAAGAGATCTAATTATGCGAGCCATTATCGACCACCCTGATTGTTTTGTCTTAAGACAGCCAGCTGAGATTTTAAAATTTCTAGATCAAATTTAAACATATTGTACATATTGTATGTATTCGCACTAAAACTACAATATATACATAATCGTCACGAAGTGGTTCACCCAAAGTGAATTTTTTGTTGTATACTCTTGCTTAAACATCATTATCAAACTTCATTTTGTATTATAATACAAACTTATAGAGGAATGCAATTCTGTGTTATCACATATTCTATTTTGTTTAGTCAGTATTTCGTTGGACTAATGTATTTAATTTATACGAAGAATGTTCAATAAAAAATACGTTGTTTCGTGAAAATCATGGCCAAAGAAATTTACCTCGAGTAAATAGAAATAACTGTCTTTCGTATTGTGCACATTGTTTTGTTTGCTTGAAATAAGGGCCAATAGCTGCTCGGTATAAAACACGCAGATATTCACCGGAAACTATCGAAATATGTCACATGCATCTATTTCTTGATGGACAGCTAAGTTTAGAAACGGGCACATACAGCTTAAAGATATTTCTGGGACGGCAAAATTCTTTTAAAAGATGCCCGATATGTAGTCAAGCATTGGCCCGTATATGATAAATTTGTCATTAGCACAAATTGTGCACTGTATTTTGAACAAACATATTGAGCAGATGAAGATAAATGCAGGATAAATGTCGCATTCGTTGACAAATGAGCAAACGTTAGACCTTAGACAAAAACCGAACAACCCCTAAAAATTGATATATAAAAATACCGGCATGACAAGAAAGATGTTGACTGGTGATGAGAATTGGGTTTACTACGTTGAACATAGACGTAATTGTTCCAATTAAATTTGGGACACCAAAAATGCAAAGCGCCCTTGTATTGCATAAATAAGTTACATAGGGAAAATGATTTTATATGTTATTTTCTTTGATAATAAGGGTCCGGTCTAGACTAAACAAAAGGAAAAATGGTAATAGGTAAGTTGTGTGGAAATGTAGCTCTCAGAAAATTGCAGGACTGCTGTATAATATTCATCATAAAATAGGACTCAAGTACATCCGCTTCCTATATGACAATGCACCCGCTCATTAGACACATATTGTGACTGAATTTACACATCAAACTCAGCCCCATTTGACTTGTTTTCCTTTTCCCAAAACTTAAATATTATCTATTTTGAAACAGATACAATTCCAGAAATATCATATTGTCTGCAATTTATCACTATCTAATAAGAGAAATTACCATTGCAGAGTATAAAATGTGCTTTAAGGAAAGTTGACAGACTGAAAAGGCTGGTGGCGAGTATTTTGAAGCAAATTATCAGAACTTATAAAAGGGTATTTTGACATGGTGGGACTGGAAATAATATGTCGAGATAAATGTTACATTCGACGTATGTCTACATCAACAACATTTGTACAAAGTTTCAGATAATTTCCGTTTTCCATGATTTCTATTCTAATTGTTCAAAATGACATAAAATTGAAAAATTGAAAAGCGTTGCAACAATTTTCATCAAAAAGCACAGAATACGATTTTATATATTTCTTTAAGTATATTTTTTAATTATCTTTGTATGTCTTTCTGTTTTAAGGGCCCAGCTCATTTATGTAAGAAATTCAAATCTTATGTGTTTAAAGCTTTAATACCTCAGTGGAGTCCCTTTAAGTTGTTTATATACGGCAAGTGACTTAATTTTTTGGTACATTCCTCGTAGATTAAGACATGTTGATTGACAACGTTTAAACTATATACTAGTAATCATGTGAACATGTTTATCAACAAAACAATATTTTCACAATTTAATATTATTAGGAGATATTATATGTATATTAATTAAAATCTGTAACATTATCTGTTTCTTTAGGTCGTGCAAAACAGTCAGTGTGACTGCAATGTGATGACAATATTGTCGGTGACATGAAACTACATGTACATTGAATTTATGTTTTATATTCAGTTATATTAGAGGTAAGGCACGAAACTATGATAGCATGTTGCAGTTAAAGAAATATATATATACTTCGTGTGCATTCAATTTTCAGTCAATTTACCGTATTCAAACATATCACATCGATTACATGTAACTTCATGTAACTAATAACATTTATTTAATGTTACTTACAACATGTATTTATTGTAAATCATAACATCAATTTCTTGTAACCTATTACATAATTATAACATCAAATTGAAGTATCTTATAACATCAATTATTAAATGTATTTTATATATTTGATGCATCTTTTAACATGTATTAGAATGTGTCCTCAGACTGTTTGAATTAGTAAATTAAATGTGATTGTGATGTAATGTATAAGTGAATCGGAGTTGCAGTTTCTTGAAAAGCAAGGGCTTTGATTAGAACGACCAGCTGAGATGCCACCGAGCATGGTACGTATACCAACTGAACTGAATATTTTAAACAGTTACCCTTTTATATATAATTAATACTAAATGATAAATCGATCCACGATATGCGAATGAAAAAAAAATATTTACGAATGGTAATTGCTATATATACTAGTATTAAGGAAAATAACACATCATCATAGTCGGTTCATAAACAAACAAAGGCACGGTTTAGGATTGATCAGGGAAATTATTTGCATACAAATGCAAGTTAATCTATTGTCGCGCATAAATGTATGCAAACGTTACGTTTCTTTACAAAGTCTGAAGAATATAATTGTTTAGTTATTTGCATGAGATAAAACGACATTTGTTTTCATTCTGAAAGTTTGAGTAGGCGGCTAAAGGAAATCGGCAGAATCAGTGATGGGAATGAAGTATTATAGGAAATCGAATCAGTTCTTACGTTAAAACTGCTTCATGTTCCCGATCACAACCGTATAACACTACTCTCCAATTGATGGTTTGGGGAAAATCAATGTCGTTAAATTCGGTATGGCAATATCGGGTTCGTATTTTCCTCGCACGCTATAGAAAGTATAACACGCTATATATAACAATTTTGTTATATTCAAGGTCATATATAGTATATAAGGACATACATGTTTATACAGTATATGAATGAAACATGCTGATAAATAAGATGTTCCATCATCACGAGCGTCAATTTAAACTATTTCTCAATCATGAAGGTAACACTATCTTGCATACAATGATAACCAAATTATGAAAGTCAGTGGCTAGGATACACTGGTATGATAACGTATACTTGGGTTATACTTATATCATAATTAAAACATAGACATGGATGTGTACATACCTTTTAACTACTCGAATTTTTTCTATCCGTCCACCTTTGATATTGTTATTAGTATTGTTAGTTAATAAAGATTTTTGTTTGAGCAAACTTTTCAACATAACACTTTTTTCCCGACCCCCAGACTCTTTCTTTCGTCTCACCACGATCACAGTTTCTGTTGGATCAAAATTAAATTTCGCCTGACTGTCAGTATTTTCTTTAGGAATTTCTGGACTCATGGCTCCACGGTGTGGCTCTTGGTTATTACTTTGACCCTCGGGGTCAGGCGAACATACTGTAACAACCATTGTCAAATATCATAAATCCTTCCAACTTCCAAATAAAAACAAATGAAGAGAAATAATTTCCTAACACTCACACTACAGGCAAACTGTACTACAGTACTTAATACCCCTGAAATAGAACACAGTCAATATTAACTCCATAATTGAAATATCCTATCCATATTGTATTTAACAAGTTATCAGTTAGTACTCCTGTGAAATTTGAAGTTTAACCATACTACAAACTATTAAAATTGCATATCTATATTCGCCCTACATAGAGATAGCCACACTCTTTCGTTGATCGGCTAGGGGAGATACCACCCCTTTTCTTATTATATCTGTCTTCTAACTTACTAGCTAGCTAGCTCAACGTTTATCAATATTGTGCAGCAAGCACGCTTAGATGTTTCCCAATTTTGTTTTCACACACAGAAAAATTGACAAAGTATTAAGCTAGCGTCCTGTTAGTTTAGTATGATCACTATATCATTAACAAAGAGTACACTATCAATTTAGCGATTACAATCATTCATCATCAACAAGTAGTCTCTGTTTGTATAGTTTACCTTTACTGCTGTATTATTTAAAACAGTATCACGCATGTACTAGATCTTAGTTAATACAAATTAAAATACGTTCTATATATAATTAGTGCGATATTATTTCAAAATGGTTTGAATATACATTAATTTTTTTATCATACATAATGCAGCGATTTGCTGTGATTTCCACTTAAATAGGTTCAATTTTGATTGATTCTTTTACTAACTGTGTACGCACGCAAGATGAAAATGGTTTGTAATATTATATGATATCAACCATTTCGAACAACCTATTTTAATATATATATTTGGTAATTCAGATAACGAAATGTATTGCGGAAACATTTTTCATTTGGCCTAAAATAATTGCAGTACATGTATATACTTTGGTATTAAGTTTAAAGTCAATGTTCGTCAATATGCTGAAACATAAAACACCGGAAAATAATTATCAACAAACTTCATTTATATGATTGAGCCGTGTCACGACAAAACCAACATAATGGGTTTGCGACCAGCATGGATCCAGACCAGCCTGCGCATCCGCGCAGTCTGATCAGGATCCATGCTGTTCGCTATCAGTTTCTCTACTTGTTAAAGGGTTGGTAAGCGAACAGCATGGATCCTGATCAGACTGCGCGGATGCTGGCTGGTCTGGATCCATGCTGGTCGCAAACCCATTATGTTGATTTTGTCGTGACGCGGCTCATATAGTCTAAAGATGAGAAGTCCATGTGTCATCAAGTCTATACTTTTTGTTATAATAATGTAGTGCACATTGGAAGTAGATTGGACAGGATATTCAACTATAGTTTACTAATGTTTGTATTTCCTATCTTATCTATAACTTATGAAGATTACTCAAGTGCCCCCTTATGTAATAATTATTATATCCATTAACGTATAATCTGGTACTCGGTCAATTTAAATTATACACTAAAAACATGGCGATTTTTTGCATAGTATAAATATGCTGAGCAAAAATGTTTCGACAAATAATTTAAAAAGATTTGAAACAAGGACGAATTCTTGTTTTTTTAAATCACCGTTTATCAGATTAAATCATAATAGTTTCGATTTTCTGACCTATTAAACTTTAATTAATTTTCGCATTAATAATTTATATAATGATACTTCACATGTAATATTGTAAAACATTAAAATATAATTATGCATGTACATACAGAATGAACGCATTTCACATTTGTTCTAAAATCTATATAACCTATTTATGACTAGTAATACAGTTGTATAATATAAACTTACATTTACTGAACGCTGTATAAGAAAACCAGTTTGTAATATTTTCCATACACAAATGTTAGTTGGGAAATACAAGTTTCTGTTTTCATAATCTAAATTAAACATGTACATTATAAAATAAACTTTCAGTTTCATATGTAATGAAATCGTTCATGCATCTTTTTTTGTACTTGGTAATAAGCATTATGACATATCTGCGGAACATACATTGGCAAGTATCCAGGTACCCGCGGATAGAATACAATCTAGACAGTACCTGGGGTAGGATACATTCGTGCGGGTACCTGCCGGTAGGATACATTCTGGCGGGTACCAGCCGGTAGGATACATTTTGGCGGGTATCTGCCGTAGGATACATTTTGGCGGGTATCTGCCGGTAGGATACATTTTGCGAGAACCTGCCGGTAGGATACATTTTGGCAGGTACCTACCGGTAGGATACATTTTAGCGGGTACCTACCGGTAGGATACATTGTGGCGGGTACCTGCCGGTAGGATAAATATTAGCCGGTACCTGCAGGTAGGATAGTTTCTGGCAGGTACCTGCGGGTAGGATACTTTCTGGCAGGTACCTGCGGGTAGGATACTTTCAGGCGGGTACCTATGGGTAGGATACATTCTAGCTGGCACTTGCGGGTAGGATACTTTCAGGCATGCTCCATTTCAGTGCAATGCTAAAGGGCAATCAGGGTCTTTCAAATAGATTTGAAAGACCCTGGGGCAATGTACTGGAACTAAACCACCCTGCATATCAATGTTACATGTCCGGGCTATATAAACGCCTTACAATGCTATATAATGCCGGCTATTTCCGCTTGTCCGGGCTATAAATACGGTTATTCTCGCTAGTCCGGGCATATAATGTTGGTTATTCTCGCTAGTCCGGGCCATATAATGTTGGTTATTCTCGCTAGTCCGGGCTATATAATGATGTGTTATTCTCGCTAGTCCGGGCTATATACTGTTGGTTATTTCGCTAGTCCGGGCTATATAATGTTGGTTATTTTCGCTTTGTCCGGGCCATATATAATGCTGGGGCTATATAATGCTTTATTTTCGCTATTTCGGGCTATATAATGTAGGTTATTCTCGCTAATCCAGGCTATATAATGTTGGTTATTCTCGCTAGTCCGGGCCATATAATGCTGGTTATTCTCGCTAGTCAGGGCTATTATTAATGCTGGTTATTCTCGCTAGTCAGGGCTATATAATGCTGGTTATTCTCGCTAGTTCGGGCTATATAATGCTGGTTATTCTCGCTAGTTCCGGGCTATATAATGCTGGTTATTCTCGCTAGTCAGGGCTATATAATGCTGGTTATTCTCGCTAGTCCGGGCTATATAATGCTGGTTATTCTCGCTGGTCCGGGCTAAATAATGCTGGTTATTCTCGCTAGTCAGGGCTATATAATGCTGGTTATTCTCGCTAGTCATGGCTATATAATGCTGGTTATTCTCGCTAGTCCGGGTTATATAATGTTGGTTATTCTCGTAAGTCCGGGTCATATAATGCTGGTTATTCCCGATGGTCTGGGCTATATAATGCTGTTATTCTCGCTCGTCCGGGATATATAATGCTGGTTATTCTCGCTAGTCATGACTATATAATGCTGGTTATTCTCGCTAGTCCGGGCCATATAATGTTGGTTATTCTCGCTAGTCCGGGCTATATAATGATGGTCTTTCTATTGTTCGGACTATATAATGCTGGTTATTCTCGATAGTCTGGGCTATATACTGCTGGTTATTTTCGCTTGTCCGGGATTATTATGCTGGTCATTCTCGCTTGTCCGGACCAAATAATGCTTGTTATTCTCGCTAGTCCGAGCTATATAATGCTAGATAGTCTCGCTAGTCAGGGCTATATAATGATGGTCTTTATATTGTCCGGTCTAAATAATGCTAGATATTCTCGCTTGTCCGAGCTATATAATGCTGGTTATTCTCGCTTGTCCGGGCCATATAATGTTGGTTATTCTCGCTAGTCCGGGCTATATAATGATGGTTATTCTCTCGCTAGTCCGGGCCAATATGATGGTTATTCTCGCTAGTCCGGGCCATATAATGATGGTTATTCTCGCTAGTCCGGCCATACTCGCTTGTCCGAGCTATATAATGCTGGTTATTCTCGCTTGTCCGGGCCATATAATGTTGGTTATTCTCGCTAGTCCGGGCTATATAATGATGGTTATTCTCGCTAGTCCGGGCTATATAATGATGGTTATTCTCGCTAGTCCGGGCCATATAATATTGGTTATTCTCGCTAGTCCGGGCCATATAATATTGGTTATTCTCGCTAGTCCGGGCCATATAATGTTGGTTATTCTCGCTAGTCCGGGCTATATAATGTTGGTTATTCTCGCTGGTCCGGGCCATATAATGTCGGTTATTCTCGCTAGTCCGGGCTATATAATGATGGTTATTCTCGCTAGTCCGGGCTATATAATGTTGGTTATTCTCGCTAGTCCGGGCTATATAATGTTGGTTATTCTCGCTTGTCCGGGCCATATAATACTGGTTATTCTCGCTATTTCGGGCTATATATAATGTTGGTTATATCCTCGCTATTCCAGGCTATATAATGTTGGTTATTCTCGCTAGTCCGGGCCATATAATGTTGGTTATTCTCGCTAGTCCGGGCTATATAATGATGGTTATTCTCGCTAGTCCGGGCTATATAATGTTGGTTATTCTCGCTAGTCCGGGCTATATAATGTTGGTTATTCTCGCTAGTCCGGGCCATATAATGCTGGTTATTCTCGCTAGTCCGGGCTATATAATGCTGGTTATTCTCGCTAGTCAGGGCTATATAATGATGGTTATTCTCGCTAGTCCGGGCTATATAATGATGGTTATTCTCGCTAGTCCGGGCTATATAATGTTGGTTATTCTCGCTAGTTCGGGCTATATAATGCTGGTTATTCTCGCTAGTTCGGGCTATATAATGCTGGTTTTTATATTGTCCGGACTATATAATGCTAGGTATTCTCGCTTGTCCGAGCTATTTCATGCTGGTTATTCTCGCTTGTTCCGGGCTATATAATGATGGTTATTCTCGCTAGTCCAGGCTATATAATGATGGTTATTCTCGCTAGTCCAGGCTATATAATGATGGTTATTTCTCGCTAGTCCGGGTTATATAATGCTGGTTATTCTCGCTAGTCCAGGCTATATAATGCTGGTTATTCTCGCTAGTCAGGGCTATATAATGATGGTTATTCTCGCTAGTCCGGGCTATGTAATGTTGGTTATTCTCGCTAGTCCGGGCTATATAATGATGGTTATTCTCGCTAGTCCGGGCTATATAATGCTGGTTATTCTCGCTAGTCCGGGCTATATAATGCTGGTTATTCTCGCTAGTCCTGGCTATATAATGATGGTCTTTATATTGTCCGGGCCATATAATGCTGGTTTTTCTCGCTATTTCGGGCTATATAATGCTGGTTATTCTCGCTTATCCGGGATATATTATGCTGGTCATTCTCGCTTGTCCGGGCTGTATAATGCTAGATATTCTCGCTAGTCAGGGCTATATAATGCCGGTCTTTATATTGTCCGGGCCAAATAATGCTGGTTATTCTCGCTAGTCCGGGCTATTTAATGATGGTCTTTATATTGTCCGAGCTATATAATGCTGGTTATTCTCGCTATTTCGGGCTATATAATGCTAGATATTCTCGCTTGT